GCTACCTGTACTTTCTGGTGTACCACAGGGGTCAATACTTGGCCCCTTACTTTTCAATTTATTTATAAATGATCTTCCGTTGCAATTGAATTATTCAAACTCACTTTTATTTGCTGATGACGTTAAGCTTTTTAAAATAATTTCGTCTGTTCAGGATGCAGTTCAACTTCAGGAGGACGCAAGTCACCTCGCTGATTGGGTCAGAACCTGGGGGCTCACCCTTAACATTCAGAAATGTAAATTTTTGTCCATTACTCTTAAGAAAAAACCAATTCTGTTCCGTTATAAATTAAATATGCAAGAACTTGAGTTAGTCTCTATTCATAAAGACTTGGTGGTGTTTTTATTGATAGTTAAATATATTGTGTCAAATGCTAGTCGAATGATGGGTATGATTTGGAGAAATTGTAGGTTTGTGAATGATGGGCCTGCTCTAGTTTGCTTGTATAAAACGATTATTCGTCCGCACTTAGAGTACTGTTCTGTTATTATAAACTCGATTTCTCCAAGTCAGGCCCATTGTATTGATAGAATACAAAGAATGTATTTATTTTTTTTAGCTAAGACATGTCCCGATTATACTGTTAATTTTGATTCCTTAAGTAAACGCAGATTTGTTTTTGATATGCTGTTTTTCTACAAAAGTTTAAATTCTGTATTTGATTGTAATCTTGTATCTTTGTTTAAATTTAACGTTCCTAGTCGTACTCGTACTAGAAACTTAATCCATGTTCCATTTGGTCGGGTTGACGTAACTAAGAGAGGTTTATTTCAAAGATTAGCTGTTACATATAATAATTTAAGTTGTTCTGATAAAATTGATATTTTTTATGATAGTTTATCCTCGTTTAAGCTTAAAATTAGTAAGGTTGTTTGATGTTAATTATTATTTGTCTCTTTCTATGTGTATATGTTTTTCTCCAACCTGTTAGTGGAGGTTCTTATCTCTGTTGGTTGAAAATTAAATAAATAAAAAATAAAAAAAGATTATGGTAAAAATAAGTCACTAAGGTCAATATCATAACAGGTCATTTAAGGTTTATGTTAATAATATATCTTCTTGGATTGTTATTCAACAATCAGAACAGTGGGCAAGATTATATGATATACTTAATGTATATAAATATAAAGAATCATGTCTTATTTTATATATATATATATATATATATAGTATATTATTAGTTATATTATTAGTATATAAAATACTTTGCTGTGAAGGAGTATATCAATACACTAGGTAAAAGACAGAATAATATTATATATAAATAAAAAATAAATATCTCTACCACAGGTTTCTGCGGTTTAGTTGGTAAGAAGTTCGCAGGATAAGTGAAAGGACCTGGGTTTGAGTCCGTGTGGAGGCAAGGTTTCCTATACATTCTGATAATATTTTTTTTTAATGTGACATCGTTGTTTCTGGGTATATCCCCTTTGCCTATTAAATTAAATA